ACTGCTATAATGGTTAAAAGTGAAAAGAATGCAATATTAATATTTTAATCAAGCTACTCAACAAGGAATTATGATACAATTATGTTCTGGTTTGACTTATATTACACTATTCTAGCAATAATTTTATTTCCTGTTAAGTTTCTTATATTCGCACTACTACAAAAAAGACTTTTTACAGCGGTTAAAAAATACTTTTTACATCGGTTCACGTAGCATTGTTGTTTCAGGGGATGTAAAAAGTACGAGACTTTTTACATCGGTTGTACAACCGATGTAGAAGGTGGACTTTCTACATCAGTTATAGCCAGAATCGATGTAAAAAGTCCACCTTCTACAGCGGTTCTAGCGAGAACCGATGTAGAAAGTCCGCCTTCTATGTCAGTTCTCGCCAGAACCGCTGTAGAAGGTGGACTTTCTACATCAATTCTTGCCACAACTGATGTAGAAAGTCCATTTTCTACATCGGTTCTATCTACAACCGCTGTAGATAGCAATATTATTTTGAAAAAAAAAATAGGGTTGTTTTTCTAGGTTGTAAACCCTACAATCCAAAAAAACACCTCTAAAATAAATAGAAATAAAATTCAATAGCCATAAAATAAGAAAGAGTTATTTAATTTATTCAAATATATAATAATTTATATTCAACTTTCATTTATTTAAATCATAACAAAAGAATTGGAATTATAATTAAACAATATAAACAAAATTTTTGTATGCTAAATTAAAAGAACCTAAAATTCCTTAGAAAATACAAGTGCAAAAAAGCAAGGGGAACAAGCTCTTGACAGCAACTCCTTCTTTACCTATATGAGCAAGTTGAACAAATACACACACCAAGTGTTGATACTCTTCATTCCCAAAATCTGGTAAGGGCTCAGCTTTTTTGTCCTATGGGTTTCATACCCTTGTAGAAAAAATGAAACTACTATTAACTACTGAAAACATTATAGGTACATACATACTACAAAAAAATCATATTATAGATTTAATTTTAGCTTACATTGGATAGTTATCTTAGAATAGAAGGCCAAAATCATATACAAAAGGTGCTCAACACAACTAAAGAGATATTGGAAAGAAAAAAGTGGTTAACTATAAATAGAAAATTTGAAGCAAACTACCAAGAACAACCAAGAATAGCCATTACTCAAGTAATTTGAATATGCAAACATAAAAGCTTATATTTATAAGTATTGAATATTTGACTATTTCTAATATTCCAACCATATGATACCTTTTAGACAGGGCAAGACTAGCTCAAAATTATTGAAGAATGCCTTGTTTTCTTGCATTTACAACCACTTCCTCCTATAATGGATACCTTGAACATGAAGAAGAAGAAAAATAATTAATATTAATAAATAGATAGATAAATAAAAATGAACCAAGTAAGTAGCACTTTGTTGAAGTTAACTTAACATTTTATGAGTAGAAAAATATATGTAAAGCCAACTTGAGGTGTGGAGCATGAATCCTTTTGCTCACCTCATTAAGATATGAAATCATTTAATTTAAAAAACAACGAAAAGAAAATTTCTTAAACATGTAGTATTTATGCCATGAAACCAAAATAACATCATATATAGAAGGGGTATTAAATAACAACAAAAGAAAGTATGAAAATCATTAATAAGAAAATCACCATAGAAGCCAAAAGCATGGTTGTAGAAACAATACTATCACCATTTCCACCACAAGCAACCTAAAAATTGCACAAGTTAATATGCAAATCTATCATGACATATTGAATAACTAAAAACAGGGTAAGGGAAAGAACTAAGACCTTAGCATTGTCTATATAGTTGTTTGATTATATTTTTATTCTCATTTTATTTTGCTGAGGCTACTGCAAACATATATAAAATATAAATGAAAATAATTTAGTCATAAACTTGGATGCACAGATCGAACAAGGTATTAACTTTTGCATATCCTTTAATTAGCAAATCCAACCAAAAGCAAATAAGTAATATCAAACAGGATCAAATTCATATTCAATGGCAGCATATAAATAACTGAGAATGAGTAATATTCAAGCTAAGGGAACCCAAATTTGACAAGAATGACACCAATGAGATGCTACACAAGAGAGAGAAGGTGAGAGAAGGAGAAGACTGGTGGAAGCACCCAAAACAGAGGTTGTAATGCGAACAAAATAAATCTCACCTCTGGAAACTAATCGACGATCCAACCGTTGAAAATGACGCATTGGATGTTCCAAACTATCTGACAAAATTTAAGCTTGATCCAACGGTTAACGAACCTGTAAGAGCAAATTTACTAAAAGTGTCCTGTGAATATGCGAAAATAACTTTGGAGGAAGGAGGAGAAGGATTTGGAGAAAATGGATCTTGGGTTTTAGGTATCTTGTTTAGGGAGAAAGGATGAGGAGGAGGACGGCAACACAATATGGAGGCAAGGAGAGAAGAAGACAAGGAGGAAAATGATGTAAACACGTTCTGTGTGAGGACGATGATAAGAACTGAAACTTTAAATGACTTTTTACATCGGTTGCTAGGGTAACTGATGTAGATAATACTTTTTACATCGGTTACCACTAAAACCGATGTAAAAAGTATTTATTTTTTAATATTTTTTAAAATTCAAAATACTTTTTACATCAGGTGATAGAGCACCCAATGTAGAAAGTCCACTTTCTACATCGGGTAGAAAAGCACTCGATGTAAAAAGTGTATATTTTTTAAATTTTTAAAAAAATTCAAAGTACTTTCTACATCGGGTGCTCTATCACCCGATGTAAAAAGTATACTTTCTACATCGGGTGCTTTTCTACCCAATGTAGAAAGTACTTTTTGTATCGGGTGAAAAAGCACCCGATGTAAAAAGTCTAATAGTCATAGCTAATATTATAAAATTGCCACCGCCTAGACTTTTTACATCGTTTGCCTTCCAACCGATATAAAAAGTCCCCTGTAAAAGCTAAATTTTGTACTAGTGTCATTTTCTTTCATGTAGTGGGTAGTCACTAATCTGTGACCAACTAGATCTTTTGGCTCACGATCATTGAGCTTCTCATGGATCTTTGACCTGAAGGGGGTCGCTGAACTGTATCAATCTTATAAAGAAACAAATTTGTGGTACTTGCTATGAGCTATTATGATAGCTTTAATTAATGTAACTTTTATCACCCTGAATTATCTACAGAGCAAATGGGGTCAATAATGCTATGAATTATCATGATACAAATTGCCTTTGCAAGATAAATGACAAATTTAGGCTACATAGCTGGAGAAAGTATTCCTTATTTAGTGCTTTTATGAATGTTTTAAGTTAATAATATAAGCAATAAAATTTAAACAAAAACAATCCATTCTTGAAAAGTTTGTTGAGGAAGTCAATAATTGTCACACCCCATAAGTTACATGTGACAGGCACTTGATATACGTAGAAACATGCATTCCTTAAACCTTTATCAAGAAAAACTCTAATTTAATATATTAATGCAATGGAAATATGATTAGAAATCATTGCAACACTTTCTCCTGAACAAAATAATCCCACCTTTCAATAGAAATTTTGGCAAAAACTCTCTTATAAGCATGTCCTCCCGAAATCTCCGCAATAGACATTTATAGAACCAAAACAAATAATATTGAGCTCTACTCCTCCATAACAGACAGACAATATAAATTACAATTCAAGATTCTATCTACAGTTAATGTGGGGCACTTGAAGCAAATTATAAAAATAATATATAAACTCACATTATATCAAGATGAGATTTGTCTAAAGAAATTCTTCTACTTTAGTTCAGTGATAAATTCCCTCTATGATCAATAGGAGATTCAAATCCCACTATTATTAGAGGCCAAAATACTTTTTCAGTGAATAACATCCCAATTTAAAATTAAAGGAAATAAAGAGAATATGCACTAATGATATAATCAGGAATTTAACAAAAATATCCATTTGAAAACAAATTAGAAACTCATACCTCATAGGCCACATGATCCTATATAAATATATAAATCATATATGTATTAATCCAAGTAATGATGACATAGCATTAAAATGTCACTTTCATATTATGATATATGTTTCAAAAAAATAAAAATAAAAAAAATGTGTAACTCTTTTCAAAATCAATGCATTAAGAAAATACAATTCATTTAATCAATATCATTTTGAGTAAACAATAATTTTTAATACTCAAATTTTGTAATGGGACTTAATCAAAATGATTGACAAGCATGAACACCAATCCACAAGGGTAAATAACCAACAAACATGGACATACAGTCTACGACGATAAATCACCAATTAAGCATGGACACAGTCCATAAGGAAAAGTAACTAACAAGTACAGTTTAAAGCTATGAAATGATCAAGCGTGACTAAAAGGCACGAAACAAGCGTGGGTATGAAACCCACGGATGACAAGCATAGACATAAGGCCCATGAAACAAGTGTGAGTACAATGTTCACGAATACCAAGCTAGCTAAGATTTAACCATGGCGTGCTAAGGGCTAATAGAACTGCTGTTAGCGACCAGAATTCTATATTCAATCCCACCAAAATATTTTCAAAGATACATGGAATCAAATTATAATTGGAACACCACATTATTTTTCAAATATTGAAATTCATAAAAGAATATTGTTGAAGATAAAACTTTTTGACACAAGTTCTTGTAATGACCATAGCAAAATATATATATATATATATATATTTTATAAATTTAAAACTTAATTATTATTACCTAATAATAGATTTTGAAGTTATTTTTATAAATTTTGGAATAAATATATATAACAAGAGATCTAGACAGATTTAGTGAAAAGTTTGTTAATAATTTTATTTGTTAAATTTTTTTTTGGGCACTAAGTTCGAGTCGCTGTGGCAGAGGCAGATATTTTATTTTGCTTCACCTCCTTGAAATTACCATTTTGCCCATAGCTAATTTATCTGGATTTGTTTTTCTTTTCCCTTTCCCTTTTTGGCATTCGGTTCTTTCCAGTAGAGACAGAGACATCGAGCGAGTGAGAGAGAGAGAGAGAGAGAGAGAGTCAGAGAGAGAGAAGCTTCGGATCATGTCCTTCCCTCTTTGTCTAATGGCCAGTGATCCGAGATGCGCCCCTCGCTATTGTCGCCGTCGCTGGACAATGTAGGCTATTAGGACGTTTTCCTTTCTCCCATTTTCGCTCAAGCAACTCTGCTGCTTACATCTCCTCTGTTCTGTCTGTTTCTTTCTTTCCTTTCCTTTCTGTCTTGTGGACAATCTGAGGTGAGGACATTTGATCCTTTATTTCTTTGTTGCTATGCGTGGGTATCTGTAGGTTCTAGTGATTTTTCCCCTTTCTGTTGCTGTGACCAAGGGGAAGATGGGGGTTTAATTTTCTGGATTTAAGAATTGATTTGTATTGAAAGGATGCTCAATCAGTTCAAATACTGGTAGTGAAGAATTTATTGAAAATGGTTAGGATGAGATTGGAAGAAAAGAGCCTAGACTTAAAACTTGGAAATTAATGCCTATAAGGTGTTTGATAAATTGCCATTAGGATAGTTTTGTTTGATTATGTATTTTGTAAAATCCCATTAATTATGGTGAAAAGCATGATTGAATCAAATGTTGTTAAGTTTTATCTTGAACATTGCAAAGAAGTTTGATTATGAAGTTAATATGAAACTAATTGAATTCTTGGGAATTATAGGGTTGTAATAAATTGTTAGATAAGAGATTTGAATGTTAAAGGGCCTTGTTGGATGGTTTAGAAATTATGCACATGAGGTGTTTGACATAAGGCCTAAAAGAAAGTCATATCTCATTCAAATAGTTAGTTATAGCCAATGTGATATGAGATAAAATTGGTATTAAGTGAAGATGTTTAGGAAACCTTAAGATATGAATCTTGGTGTTTTTGGAATTTGAATGGTTGTAGTGATGGGGGTTGCATTAGTTGTGAAAGAGTTTATATATATAATTGTAGGAAGTTGATTGAAATTTCATGTATATATTTTTATATTTTTATAGGGTGTGTAGAAAAAGAGAACCTTGACAAGTGTTGAAAGGAGAAATTATTGAGTTTTGAGAGCTCTGAACAGGTAAGTGAATAGCATCCCAATAGTTTGTTATCAAACTTATTTTATTGAAAATATTGCTTGAAAATATTTTGATAAATTTATATGCCACATCCTCTAGTTATATAAACCTTTGCTTTCTTAAAAAAATGAATTATACAATTTTTTTTATATTCCTTAATCATTTGTGATTTTAATTTTATTAACGACAATTGAATTTGAAAATATTTTCTACATAAATAAATTTTATAGAAATATTTGGAGTTATTCACTTCAAATAAATACCTGAATGCAATTGTTGTGTTGATTTATATGTAAGAGAAAATCATGCTGATGTTATATCCACGTATATTTGATTTGAAATGTGGGATTAAATCAGAACGTTGGTTGCTAATGGCAGTTCCGTTAGCCCTTGGCGCCCCATGATACACCTAGCTAGCAAGGTGTTTATAGGAGGTGCTAGCCCCGTGCGCAGGCCAACGCACGTGAAACGGAGGGATGGATATTTGTGAACATTGTACTCATGCTTGTTTCATGACTCCTGTCACGCTTGTTTCGTGGCTTTTGCCATGCTTGGTTACTTGCCCTCGTGGACTGCGTGTCCACGCTCATTGGTTATTTACCCTCGTGGACTTTGTGTCCACGCTTGTTAATCATTCTGATTAAGTCCTATTAAAGAAAGAGTTTTGAAGCTTATTTTTCATAGGTTGGTTCTTGAAAAGCAAATGGTTTTTTTTACCATATATGAATTTTACTTTAAGCAACATAAATTCCAAGGCGTTTTAAGTATACATGGAAATTAAAGGTGAAACTTGAATTCCTTATAATTTTTAATTGAATATTTACATTCATGTTTTATACCTTTATATAGTTATTGGTATTGATATTTTGAGGTATATGCTTATACTATTTTCAATTGATTATTATATTAAGTTTATACTTGATTTATTGATGTACTTTCCATTAATTCTTCAACTGTAAGTTGGGACGTTATTCACTGGAAACTTTTGGTCTTAGATAATGTGGTCGATCTTGCACCTTCAGATGATCGTTGAGGAGTGGAATGTCAAGTTGAAGTTGGAGCATTATTCTGGTTAATCTCCCTTCAATGTAAACCTAAAAATATATTTTGTATTTTGTGAATTTTATTTTAGATGCTCCACATAAACTAAAGTTAGGATCCTTGTTACTATCTATATTGTTGGTCTGTTGGTAGGTACTAAACTCACTTGTTGTTATTTTATTGTGATAATATTGTTGTATAACTTTTGGGAAATCTTGTTTTTAGGGAAGGTCTTGTCAAAATATCTATAGAAAATTTTGGAATCTTTTTGTTTGTATGATTGTGTTACAGTGATTCTCTAATCTTATTTTAAATGATTTAAGATATTAAGTCAATGTTTCCACAATCAAGGTTTAAAGTATATGTATTTGTGTTTCTATACTATGTCGGTCATGTCTATTTTTGGGGCGTGATAGTTCTCATCAAGGATGTTTATAATCAATGTATGGAAAAAAAATACTATCAAATAAAATCCTTATTTTAGACTAATCTTAAAATATCAATAGGAAAGTGATATAATTCAGATAACTTGCCTTGATGAAATCTACCATATCAAAATTAATAGTTAAATTTAAATGTATAGCGAGTACTAAAATATCATTTGTAAAGGTAATTTTTATGGCATTTATTTGAAACATAATTCCAACTCTTTTTGCGACATTTAATATAATGAAGATTTTCATATATAAGTTAGTATAAAAATTGAATGAAAATCATAACATAATAATTATGAATATATAGATATATGCTCAATAAATTTTTTATTTTTTTAATAAAAGAAATTGTGTTAACAAGTTATTGAGATGCTATTCACTTATCTAAAACATTTTCAAATATGATTTACTCCTAATTAGTAGCTTTTGTAATATTGTCCATGCCATAATTTCCTTGCCTGAAGGGACACTATTGTTATTCCTTTTATTTACTTTATAATCCAAAATATTTAACCCAAGATAATTTAGAGGAATAGAAACAAAATCTTAACTATAACAATTCACAATAATATTCCATGTTGAGTTTAATCACCAAATCTCTACAATAGACAATATAGGCAATATTCAAAGTTTCCCAATCTGAGCTATAACAAATCTCTATAATAGACAATATTCAAAGTTTCCCAGTCTTATGGAAAATAGACAATATGCATTATAACTTATTTGTCCCAAACCCACCAGCCATCCTTTAGACAATTTATATTCTTCTTATTTCTTTCTCTAACTTGCAATGATATTCTTATCTCACTCATACCATTCTCCTTTGACCAATAATACGTGTCTTGTCATTAAGGCTCTTTCATAATGTTTTTCACAAGTACATTTTATTCAAAGCATGCAATTCTATATTTTTATACTTGCAAGTGTTCGGGCGTTAACCCAAACTCCTCAATTTAATTGAGGAAATATTCACAAATCAATGAACACCTTCTCATTTAAAGTTTATAACAAATTTAAAAGAAAATAGCTTCACATTAATTTTTTACATGTAGAAAGAAATATTGAATTTTATAAACATCAATAATAGGAATATAGAGATTCAAGAAAGATTTGTATCCTACTAAGTTTCAAGGTAGAGATTGACTCACGACTCACCTAAATCTTAAGTTTTAGTTCTTCGTACAATTAACGTACCTGATTGCCCCATTCCAACCAAATTTCTCTTTTACACAATTAAGCAACTACCTTATATGCACCAATATTTACTCTATAAGACAGAGCTCCTTCCACTTCAAGTCTCTTTCCAAAAATATCCATTACCAATAGTTAAATTTTCCAGCCCTCCGAAATCTTCTTCCAGCAAATCCCCATAAAAAAAAAAAAATCAAAATTTCATAGCAATTCAATCAAAACACACGCACACGCACATAGCTACTAATAAGGGAGATGGAGTTAAATTCACTTAAGAAGCCAAATGGGGAAATGAAGGATAGGAATTAAAGTCTCTACACCCCGCATCTAGAATAGGGACGACACAAACAAAGAAAAGCCAAGCAAACCAATGGCAGAGCAGGGGAAAAACTTGGCGGCAAACATGAAAAAGGAAGAGCGACTCTCGCACCAGAGCAGCGTTGGCAAAGCATGGAAGCTTACCTTGCGAAAATGAAAGAGGAGACAGCCATTGCACCCACAGCACGTCATGAGCAGAGGAAACAGAGAAGGACCGACAGTACCAAAATAGGGAAGGAAGAAGAAATCACGACCTTGTGGAAGAACCAGAGCGGCGGTCGACGAATGGCACACCCACGGTTGCCGGCGATGGATGAACAGAAAGGAGGAACCGAGATTGGATCGAGATCTCTCTCAATGGTTTTGGAGAGATCGAAAAACTGGCGAGGAGAAGGAAAGAAATTGCTCCTTTTATGTTTTTTTGGGTTTCAGATTTGATTTTGTTTTTTTTTTCCGCATTTCGGTAATTTCCTTAAGTTGAAGATGAAAATAAAATGTCCCTAATGCAATGAGAAGATTCTAACCCAAATCTTGAGGATGTCTGGCCAGCATTATTGCCATTGAACCACCAATCTCTCTTTGAACATTGGTTCCATAGAATTTCTTATCATAATTTATAATTTTGATAAAATTCTAAGTTATTAAAAACTAAATTTAAATGTAAGCCACCCTTCTTGTGGTAACTACTCCAAACTTAATAAAATATAATCAAAATACTTAATTATAAATTTTTAATTTTACTTAAAACTTTGGGCCATTATAATAACCTAACTTCTTCATTTTTTATTCTCATAGGAAAATTGTTGAAGACGTTCCTCGTGGTGTGCATGTGAAGTTTTCGAAAGCAAAAAGATCTTCAACGAATCCATGCAGCTGAGGAGCTGGCTGCTAAGGAAGGGGGTGGAGTTGAAATGCATGTTCTTGAAGATGCCAGCCACTGGTAATTTAGTTACTTGGAGTAGGCTTTTGCCCTTTGCATGTCCTTCACTGTTATGTTTGGCATGTTTTGAAGTTAGCGATAAGAATGAAAAATAAACAAGGTTGGGATGACAGAATAATCTTGTGCCCCTTTTTTTATATTAAAAATAGATAGACACTTTTAGCAATAATAAAAGCAGAATAGCTATTGCAAGTCTCATATTTCGTAATTACCTTCCTTTTTGCTGTTTCTATTCATCCCAAAATGCATGATTAGACGAAGTATGAAATGTGAGGAAACTCGTTGGAAACCTGTCAACCATTTTTTTAAGAAATTGTGTTGATCTTTAAGCTTTCAGGTGTGTTTGTTGGTCCTGAACTTCTAAACATATCTCACATTTATGTTTGTTCTGCAGACAAATTCCACCATTGGAGACAAGTTACTCGCGCGCACAAAACAGTTACAATAAATTATATATAAATGGTATCAAGTAAATTTGAACTAGAATACAATTAACATGTCAAGTTAATCATTGTGCAACATTTAGATTATTGAGTGTTATGATTTGAAGTCAGTGAGAAAAATGAAAAATGGATGAGGTTGGGATGATATAATAACCTTTTTTCCCTCCTTAAGTGGTAAGAAGAGATAGACACTTTGACCGATAAGAAAAGCATAATAGATGCTACAGTCTCATCTTTCATTATTACATTCCCTTTTGCTGACTTTCTATTTATCTTAACATGCATGGTTAAGATGAAATTTGAAATGTTAGGATACCATTGGAAACCTATCAATCTGATTCTTGTTGATCTTTACTTGCTGGTGTGTTTGTTGGTCTTGAACTTTTGAACATATCACATTTATGTCTATCCTGAAACATCATCCACCATTGAGCATGTTAAATGCCCATGTGCACAGAAAACAGTTATAAGCAATTTATATATAAATGGTATCTAGTAACTTTGAACAATACCACAGTTAGCATGTCAAAGACTTGTTGAGCACTATGCAACATTTAGAGTATTGAGTGGTAGCTTCCTCATGCCAATAATGTAAATTGGAGGATTGCACGTTTAAAACATCATGCTATTACTTACCAAATGGTTTTCAAGGGCACAATTTCCTGCAATTGCTTGCCTTATACATAAAAACATCTATTGTCCAAATCCATGAAATTCAACAAAATTTTACATTGGTTGTCAATAGCAACACAACCCTCCTTCTTTATGTGGGCTTGGGGTCAATTATAAACATGGTGTAAAGAGGGATAGAGGAAGGCTAAAGAGAACATTTATAAAAGTTGTTGAATGAGACCTCTATTGGATAGGGTGGCGTATTAGAAGATTAAAATTTTAAAGTCTCTATCCTGATATAAACCAAATGAACTCATTTAAGTCAAGGTAAATAGAAGAGTTACCTTTTAATTCTTTGAATTGGGCACACATTTTCTTCCAGAGTTTGGATCTCAGGAGCTGACAATGTAGATTTTCTCCCTTTATTGGTATTCACATGAATAGCTCTCTAACTCGAACAGCGTGTTAGCGTTCCCAGTGTCCGTTCTTCTTTAAACATTAGTTTTTCCTTTTTGTAGGGTGTTTTGTGGCTTTCAAAGTGTTTTTTGCCGTCAAAAATTTTCTAACTGTCTCCTTCATAAAGGACGTCCCTATTTATATATAGTATATGGATCAGGGTTTTCACCTTCCATTTAAAAGCCCACAAAACTTTAATTAAATTTATTTTATAAATTTAATCCATGATATCATATCTAATTTAAATTTATCTTATAAATTTAAATTATAAAATTGAAATGATATTCTCTCATATCATGTTAGTTATTAAATTTAATCTATTATATAAAATTAAATTTAAAACTAACATAACATAACATAACATAATATAATATAATATCACATATATATTATATTATATATATATATACACAAATATATATATATATATATATATTTAATTTTATATATCACACACACACATATAAATATATATTGAAAATATATACATATAAAATTATATTTTGAATTTTATATTTCATATAAATATATATATATATATATATATAAATATTTATCAAATAAATATTCAAATATATATATATATATAAAATCCATTCATCTTATATTACATTCATTGAATCTAGACATATTCCAAATTCAATGAACTTGGACATTATAGCTCGAGTTGGGTTGTCCTTGTATGCAACGCTGTAAACCCATATGAAATTGGTAGTAGGCTAATTATGCTATTAGTTTACAAGTCACAAGTGACCTTTAGCAAGACATTGCAACTATCAAATTTACATGAGGATCGATGATTCGATGTAACCTATCATGCAACCATATCACATCCCTTTTGTCACGCAATATTTTGATCAAATGTGAGACATGGAATTGTCAT